CCGCGGTGCCGCCGTCCCCGCCGCTGCATCCCGGCGCGGTCCCTGCTCCCGGCACCCGCATCCCGGCGCTCCCGCGCTCTGCTCTTGGGTACCTGCACCCCCGTGGGGGTGGCTGCCTTTTCACCCCCTCCCTGCAAGGGGACCGGCACCTCGGTACATGCACCGTGTCCCAGTCTCCTGGTGCCAGGGCCCTCCATCCCAGTAACCACATCCCGGTGGATGCCTGCGTGGTTCCTGCATCCCAGCCTCAGGTAGCTGCATCCCACTATGGCACCTGCCTCCTGGCAACAGGTACCTGAGTGCTGTTACGAGCACCTGCATCCCACTGCTCATGCTGCATCCCAGCATGTGGCCCTCCATTCCAGCCGGGGACCTGTGTCCCAGAATAGCACAGCTGTAACAGTACAGGTTACTATGGGTACCAACATCCCTGTGCAAGTACCAGCATCCAGGTATCAGTACCAGCATTTCTGTGCAAGTACCCGCCTCCCACCACGGGCACCTGCAGCCCACAACAGTTGCTTATGGCACAGTCACCACCTGCAAACTGGCAGGTCGTCCTGCATCCCGACACTAGGCAGCCGCACACCCCTGTGAGCACCTCTGTCTCAGCAAGGGCACTTCCCTTGGCACCACCTCTGCAGCAGGTATCTCCACCCAGCACAGGCTCATTCTGCTGTGGGCAACCCAGCTCAGGGTACCTTTGCGCATCCCAGGACTTGCATGACGCATCACAGCCCTGGTACCTGCCTGCTGTCACTGATTCCCCTCTGCCAGGGTCTCTGCATGGCACACAGACTCCTGCCCTCCATTTGGGTACCTGTCTCCTGATGTGTTGCCCCAGCCCACCAGGAGTGCCCGCCCGGGTGCCCATGTGGCCCCACATCCCCTCTGGGATGCCTGAGCGCAGAAGCTGCCTCAGCTCAGCGCACATCCTGGCGAGCCCCGTGGTAGCCCCAGGGCGCCCTGGCCCCAGCCCACATTGCCACCACCTCGGTGGGTGCCCAAGTCTATGTCTTGTTACCCTCCTTTGCACCTCATTTCCCCCCATACACTGGGGCTTGTGCTGCTCCTTCCCTGCTCACCGGCCTTGAGGCTGCAGGAGGCTGAGCAGTACCAGGGCTGTCGGGCCCCTCCGCCCAGCGTGACCTGCCCACAGGGCGCAGACATTGGGAGGCGCCGGGAAAAGCCGCTTTCCCGGCTGCACCAGCATTCCTGGTGCCCAGCGCCGGCTGCTGAGCCCTGGGACTGAAACAGGGAAGAGCTGCAGAGTGGGAGCAGGAGCAGAGCGGGAGGCAGGCGGGCCCCGCGAGCGGCCGGGGAGGCTGGGGGCAGCCCCCAGCCCTGCGTGGGCAGGGGACGAGGAGCCGGGGCACCCGGGGCCACCGCGATGTCCGAGCCAGCCCCGGGCCCTGCCTTCCTCCTGCACTCGGAGATGCTGCTGGGGTGACACGGGGACCCCCCGCCTCCTTCCCCGCCTCGCCAAGCAGGCGAGCACTCATGGGCGCTCCATGCAGGGGGACTGGGCTCCCCAGCACCATGCAGCCCCTGCAGACCCCAGCCCATCCCGGACAGCCTGCGCTGCCACCCACCACCTCCCCGAGCCGGGGAAGTCCAGGGGGCACCAGGACTTGGGGCTGCTGAGCAAGAGGGGAGCCTTTGTGCTCCCTGGTGACACAAAACACAGCAGGCACTCACAAGGTGTGTAAAAATTTATTTCGCCGTAGAGAACAAACTTCCTAAAACAGCAGGGCCTGGAGGGTGCTGGAGCAGGGCCGCTCTGTGCGCCAGGGCTGGTGCCAGCGCTGCACCCGGGAGGATCAGCTCGGAGAGGGGAAAAACAGCCACAGAGAAGGTGGCTGTGACTGTGTCACGCACCAGCAGTGCAGACGGTGGCAGTGGAAGGGGCCACCCACGCGGTCAGAGACAGGGACACAGCTGGTCGCCATCCCCCACCTCATCCCACACGAGGCAGTTGGTGCAGCCAAGACTTCTCTAACCCCCTGCTGGCTCCAGGCCCCCAAAAAAAAAAAAAGTATAAATAGACAAATGTATAGAAAAGGAGTTAGCTGAACCCTGTGCTGCCCCCAGCTGAGTGTCAATGAGGCTACCCTGAGTGCCTTGGAAGTGCCACTAACGCTGGCAGCAGCTCCCACGGGCTCCCACACCAGTGCAGCAGGGAGCCAGGGCACAGGCGGCAACGAGGGAGCCAAAGGGGGTGCCAGCCCGCAGGGACCACGAGGCTGCCCTCGCTCTTCAGGACCCTGGGGACAGGGGTGGCCCCAGATCCACGTGGGGTTCAAGCCACCCGGCCACCCCCTCACAGTCATGTGGGTGAAAGGGCCACTCCAGGAGAAGCGGCTTCCAGTTCTGCCAGGAGCTGTCACACCTCCGGGAACCTGCTCTGGGACAGCCCTCGGGGCAGCAATGCCAGGAAGGGGCCCATGCAGAGGCCAACAGGACAGGGGCCAGCACAGGGTGTCACCTGCACCAGCTCTGTCGTGACAGTGCCCAGGAAGAGCCGCAGCTTGTGCTGAAGGGCAGCCCTGGGCCCCCTGCGCTCCCGCAGCTCCGCGCGGCTGAGCCGGGTCCCTGCCCCGGCCAGCACTGGGGGCCAGGGCAGCGCTG